TAAAGCGCCATGGCGCCTAAAGTTAGAGAATTCGGTATACATTTTATACAGTATTAAGCACTAAGTTAATGGTGCTATTTAAATCGCAAATATCGTACCTTATATCGTAAATTAAATGCATTTAGTTGCTTAATAAAAAAAATCCGTTTAGGCGGCGTGCACAAAGTACATACGCACTGGTAGGGGGAGGGGGGGGTCAATTTTTGAACAAAATTTTGCGTACGTACTTTGTGCACGCCGCCTTAATAATTTCGATAACAGCAATANTCTTGTACTGCAATATGGGTCCCAAACGCGACGATTCTGCACTCCATTCACGACTCATAGATTTGTTGAGTACTGGAAGTGCTTCAGAACCTGAAGAATACGAACCGACTGGTCTGACAGACATTGAATCCGATGACGAAGAAATGCAAGACATTATAGTCGTCGACGAATCCATTGACACCACAGATGACTAAACGTTTTAAATAGAAATAATTCTGTTTTTTGATTTAAATGTATTGTCATTTACTCAGTCATTAATTGATAAATAAATGTATTCATTGCTATAAATATGAGATATCACGACATGGCGGGTTATATCAGTCTCTAAGAGGGGGTGGCGTACTATCTAGGTAACACACCATGCTATTTTGAAGTCTACCCGAGTCTGGGACCTGTCACATAAAGCGCCATGGCGCCTAAAGTTAGAGAATTCGGTATACATTTTATACAGTATTAAGCACTAAGTTAATGGTGCTATTTAAATCGCAAATATCGTACCTTATATCGTAAATTAAATGCATTTAGTTGCTTAATAAAAAAAATCCGTTTAGGCGGCGTGCACAAAGTACATACGCACTGGTAGGGGGGAGGGGGGGGTCATGCCAAAGCGTATGTCACCATGTTAAATTCCTATGTACGATGGGCGTGTAGGGGGGAGGGGGGGTCAATTTTTGACCAAAATTTTGCGTACGTACTTTGTGCACGCCACCTTACTAGTTTATAGGATTTGTAAGCCTGGTTATGATGTAGTGATGAATAATGTAAGTAATTATAATGCATGACAAATAGTAAATTAAACAATAATTCATTACAAATGATAAATATAATTAATTTAATTAACAGTATATCACAGATTTTGCATCAAGTGAAATAAATGCCAGGAACAATCACTACCGTAATAAGTATCCAATAGATTGTCACAAATTTAGACAAATAATTGTTTTATTCATTGATTTTGAAAAATATTTTCATAAATTTTGATATTAATTTCCGATAATTTTCATGTGTTTCAAGCTTTGAATGTAATATTTTTTAGTTGATTTAATTTTTAAGGTTAAATAGTAGGCTATTATCGAGTAATAAACCAATTTATAAAAAGTAATAACAATTACTTTATGGCCCCATAAATGCCCACAGAATACTGTGTCAAAATCCCATAAATATGATCTGGATTAATGTTTGTTTAGATGTCATCCATACAATGGCTAAAACCTGGACCAATACGTGTTATTGTAGTTATCAATCTCGGCGTAAATGGCATTAAAGTCCTTGATAATTTTATATATATTTATCATTCGCTTTCTAGTATTATTAACGATATATTTTAAATTATCATTCAATGATATGATTTTTAATTTCAAGTAATATGTAATAATATAATAGTAGAAAAATTGCCAAACAATGAGATTATAGAGATAATAGCAACTGATTGTCCAAAGTATTGAATTGGGAATCGCTATGAATATGATATGAATGACCGATACTTTTATGACAAAAGCCGACAAAACAATACCAAACGCCAGGAATGGTATGGTTTTTGTCATCAAATCAGATATCTTTAGTGATATTTTTGAAGTTTTAATTAATTTATAGACCAGTTGTTTGTCTGAAAGACCCATACTTTTAGGGGTTGTATAACCGGATAGCATACGAAATACTCGCAAATCAGTGGGTTTTATGTCATTTACATAATTATAGTAATTAAGAAATTGTGACAAAATAGCTATACTTCCCGCACATAGGACGAGTAGATTTGTTTGACTCCTCACACCATTATAATGACCGACATCTCCCATATATAGGTAAACCCTGTCATTCATTTCAGGCAATAGTAGTACCAATAGATTTCTGGCAATCAGTTGTGATATCCATAAGCAGACAATCAATGGTTTGTGAAATAAATTTCTATTTTCATCATTAAATGCAAACATTGAGAGACCAATCCTATAGAGATGACTACCAGCCCTCCGATCCCTTAATTCTGGTGGTAATACTTTGTTTACGTCAATCTTTTTACTGTTTATTTTCATATTTAAATCTATAAACACAATGTAATATTAGATAGTAATTGACTTATACTGTACAGTACTAAATTTTATATTTAAAATTCCGGTGGTAATACTTTGTTGACGTCAATCTTTTTACTGTTTATTTTCATATTTAAATCTATAAACACAATGTAATATTAGATAGTAATTGACTTATACTGTACAGTACTAAATTTTATATTTAAATTGATACCAATAAATATTTTAGTTTATGTGTTAAGAATACAAAGTATACATGGAGACAAAAACAAAATAATATACATAAAAGTCATGAATGTTTGCACAATCTATTAATATAACTATTAAATGTACATTATGTAATGCAAAATGGTTATTTACATTTCAAATAATAATGATCAGAATTTATATATTTTAATGATTATAAAAGTTATTATTCTGTATCATAATATGATAAATATCAAGTCGCCACTATAGCTTGTAATAATAATTTGTAAAAAATTAATATTATAAGTTAGTACTTAAATTCTGTAACTGATGCATTATTAAACTACTTTACAGATCAATAATTTTCAGAAATGACAAAATAATAAATGTTATTAGCTTGTACAGTAAAATTTAAATTAGATTATTTAACAATAAGATTTCTTTTACTTATAATTTATTTATAAAATAATGTTTTTAAAGTACCATGATTGTATTAAGACCACATTTGGTCACTTATGATATACTCTTGTCTGGGAAATGGACATGGATATAATTTAAAAATTGGTTCGGGGTTGAATAATAACTTGACCAAATTAATTGATATAGAAAAGATATTTTGCAGACTTAATCTGACATATATATTTTTATACAGTATATATTATATATATAATATAAATTTTAATTTGATATATTAAGTTAGTATATCTCGGGTTTAAACATGTTTAAATTAACTATTCAAGTGTTTAAACCACTTTTTTGTATGCCTGTAATACAGTACACTTTCGTGTAATGAAAGATACAACAAATTTGTTTCTAAAGTCATTCATATTTATTATACATTTCTACGTTTATAATTTAAAGGTTAAATGTAATTAATTAAATATACAACAACTAATTTAGGTAAAAATGAGTCACATAATAATTTAACCAAAATATCTTTCTAATATCAATATTTTTAATTATTAGAATTGCCTCGAATTGAATTAGAGAATTGAACCTAGTTTATAATCTGTCAACACATTCATATTTATTTTGAAATGAATCCACAATAAATAATTTATTCATTAAAATAACCTATGTGAGTGTAAAATGTTGTTAACTATTTTGTGATTAACACCGGCACTGGATGTAAATGTAAAGGAAATGTGAGTAGTGATGAATTTAATAAATTTAATGCATATTTCAACGTCTAATATGACAATACGTCACTTTAATTTAATTAGCGCCAACCATCTGTTCACTTAATACTTGTTAATTGTATTAAAAATTCATTATTAAGTCTTCATTTTATATAAATTCAGTTTTGTTTTAAAAAGTTATTATTTTCATCAAATAAAATATGAATTCCTTAGCCATTAGTGCGGTTTGTATGTTATATTTAGTACTAACTGTGTACTCGGGACCAGTACCTGATACACAAGACCCCACAGCAGCACCTACCGCTGCCTTAGGATCATCTCCTGCAGCCTTAGGACGGGGTATCCCTGGATCCTTATTACTGCCTACCGGTGCCGCTGGATCAGCACCTGTAGCATCGGCGGCAACAGGAGCCTCTTCGGGAGTTACTGGTGGCGCAGGCAGTGCAACCCCGGTTGTGGTGGCTTCCCCACAGATAGCCTATAATACTGCTGTAGGTGTTGGCAATCAGGTCCGGGCTGCCAGACAACGGCAACAACAACTCGATACGGCTAAGTTGGCGGCTGTAAGGGAACAACTGCGAGCCCTCACAGCTGCCAGACCTGGCTATGGCCCCAACCGAATGGCCGCTCCCATCAATAACCTCATATTAGCGACCGTACAGGCTATCGATGCCTTACACGGCTACCCACCCCCACCTCCACCCCAGCCCCAGCCCTACTACGGCTTCAATCCCCACAACCCATACTTGCGGGGTATGATTCCGATAGAACAGTGGCTTATCATAGAGGCATACCTGGCCAAACATGGCTACGGACATGGCCACGGACATGGATGGGGAACACCTGCTTATGAGGAGACCGGTGGGTTGGAAGAACTGATCAACAAATTGGGCGGACATGGCTATGGACATAGATGGGGAACACCTGCTCATGAGGGGACCGGTAGATTGGAAGAACTGCTCAGCAAATTGGACGGACATGGATACGGACATGGCTATGGACAGGGATGGGGAACACCTGCTTATGGACAGACCGGTAGATTGGGAGAACTGATCAAATTGTTGATCCTTCTTAAACGTGGTAACCCCTCCCTCGGACAGGGACAGTCAGGCTTATTGGACAGAGGGTGGGGAAACCTCGGCCTCGGCCAAGCCCTTTGAGTCATTCTCAAAGTATATTGTATATCGATTACCTTGCTATAATTGATTTAAAATAAAAATTATAAGTTAATGAATTAGTTTTAATGTAATTATTCAGAAATTAGTTGTTTTGTATAATATTTTGTATAACAAAAAAAGTATAATATTTTGGAAATATAGTCAAACACTCACTCATGCTAATACAATGAGATAATGTAATTATTTTGTGAAAGGTATGTGAAATGACACGTAGAGGTATTGTATAATTGATATGATTATTTAGTTTATATGTTATGATAATTAATAAAAGAAAATAAAATTGTTTGGTATAACAATACTTAGTAAATGTTACTTTCTCACAAAGTGCTTTAGAGTACATACTTACAAAATATCTAATTTACTTAAGCTGTTGTTAACCAATTACTAATACCCCTGATATCCGTAATAGTATCCTAAGTGCAAGATTACCTTCAATGATACAGTATAAATAGTATAAATAGCAAGCTCATGTAAACTTATTTTTCAAATTAAAACAAATAGAAACACTTTCTAAAATGTTTAATTACTTTTCATTACTTTTTATTTCATTTTCAGTGGCTAATGGTTAGTAATTTTTAAATTCTTTGTATATTAGCTAGTATTCAAAACAAGTAATATTTCATTTCAATACAATTCATGCAGTTTTATGCGGCAAACCCTGTGCCGAGCGAAAGATTACGGGCGCCGACAGCGTATGCGTCTGTAACCAAACCTATTGCGATGACTTCCCGCAGCTAACCCTCCCGAAGGCCGGCGTTGTATTGGTCTACGAAAGTGGCAAAAGTGGGCACAGGTTTCAGGAGACACAACTCAAACTGCAAACACATACCAGCCCTCAAACCACCAGATCTAATAAAGACACGCAAACCATAACAATCGATAAGAACCAGAAATATCAGAGTATTATTGGTTTCGGCGGCGCCTTCACCGATGAGTTCGGTATGGTTTTGAACGCCGTTCCCAAACAACTGTCCACTTATTTGATGGAAAGCCTGTTCAGCAAAGATGGTATCGAGTATAATATGGGACGACTACCGGTGGCCTCCACTGACTACTCGGCCCACTATTACACGTACGACGATGTGGTCGACGATACAAAGCTCACCAAATTTGCTTTGGCTAAGGAGGACATGGAGCTCAAGGTATGGTATTAATTGCCAACATTATTTAAAAATAGTTAACATTATTTTATTAATACTATAAAATAAAATCTACAATAAATAGATTCCTCACATAAAAACCGCCCAAACCTTAAGCACGAAACCATTGAAACTATTTGGCAGTTCATGGGCTGCACCCGATTGGGTGAAAACCGGTCCCAAAGAACCGCTTGAACGCCGCAACCAATTGAAAGGGGAGACGGGAGGGGAGTACTACGATATTTGGGCTAATTATTTGGTTAAGTATGTAAAGCGTACGAGAAATGAAGCTATAATTATGTTTTGATACTAAAAGGATTGTTTTATATCAGGTTTTTAGACATATATAAGGCCCAGAATATCCCGATCTGGGGGCTGACCACTCAAAACGAGCCGACGTGGGGCCGGGATTTCATACCGAACGACCTGTTCTTTGATCCGGAAATGCAAAGAGTGTTTGTCCGCAAAAACTTGGGACCACTTCTTCAGAAGGCTGGCTATACTCCCGACAAACTAAAACTCATGATATTTGACGACAACGTGTGGCACAACACCAGTGACCACAAGACTATGCAACAGTTCGCGGACACCATATTAGGGGACAAGGAGGCAGAGCAGTTTGTGTCCGGTATTGCCTATCATTGGTACGAGAGCTCAAAGACTGATGAATACCCGGACACTGTGTTGGATGAGGTGCACACCAAACACCCCAACCATTTCATGCTAATGACTGAGGCCTGTCATCTGGAAGGGCTGGGCAATGGGCGCTGGGATTTTGGGGAGCATTACGCGCACGATATCATAAGAGTTTGGTTTTTGACTAAAACTTTTGAATATGTATTGAATTTGTGTTTCTATAGGATTTGAATCACTGGACCACCGGTTGGGTGGAGTGGAATATGGCGTTGGGTTTGAATGGCTGTCCCCGTTGTGGTAAAGATCAGTGCGGAACGGCTATAGTGGTAGATATCTTGAAGGGGGAGGCCTACAAACAGCCCACTTTCTACGCGATCGGACACTTCAGTAAGTTTTTGTCACCCGATTCCGTACGCATTGGCCACCAGTAAATATCGACGGAATTGTGGATCAGTTGAAAGAATCGCTGATTCGGGTGGAGAAACAGAAACAGGAAAAGGATTTCGTGTTAAACCGCAAATGTCTGGAGATTAAAGTGAAAGATATGGAGATCAAGCGCCTGGAGTTGGAGTTGAAGCAAATGGAGAGACAATTGATTTGCGAGAAACGCGTCAATAAGAAGCTCCGACACCACATATAAACCGCAAATGTCTGGAGATTAAAGTGAAAGATATGGAGATCAAGCGCCTGGAGTTGGAGTTGAAGCAAATGGAGAGACAATTGATTTGCGAGAAACGCGTCAATAAGAAGCTCCGACACCACATCAAAACCAGTGGCCATCTGAAGGAATGTCCGCAAACGGATCAAAGCTTAGACAATGAACTGAAAGACATTTATTGTAATAGCAATACGACTGAAGACTCGGAAGAATGCGATCAATTGAGTTCCTGTGCTGACATCAGCAACAGTAGTAGCTGTTCATCTGATCCCAAGTTTGTGAATAGTTTCTGTACTGAAGTACAGCTGAATTCAACAGAAAAACCAAATAATAGTAGTTTTAAAGGATTTAATAGCAGTTCATTCACAGCCATCATGTCATCCAACAGGGCTGACACCTCGTCAACACCTGATGCCAATGAACACCACCGCACAGTCAGTATAGACTTGGACTACAACGAGATATCGGTCCTCACAGAGTCTGACCTTAAAAATAATAATATAGATTCATATGTGGAGTATGATAGCGATGGGCATGTAGTCAATGTAAACGAAAATACTACTACTAATGATACTAAAGGGTCAGACATTGACGACAACTGTCCACTAGTCGAGTCCATCGTATGTGAGCCGGACTTTCAATGTCTTAAACAAACCGACGTTAATCTCAATAATAATCGTAATTGTGATGCAAATATTGATAACCCGGTGACTGATATAAAGGATGTGACCACCAGAAGCAAAATATGTCGAAACAACTCAAAGCAAAAGCCAAAAGACAAGAGTTATACGCAAAAGAGTGGGAAGGGGTCTAAAAAGCGGTCCCATAGGTGCCAAATAGGTGATTGTAACTATAGGTTTGTCTCAAAGTGTGGCCTAAAACGACACATACAGTCGATGCACACGAATGAGAGGCCCTATGAGTGCGAGTTTGAGGATTGCGGCAAACGGTTCAGTCGGTCGGACTCACTCCGGGAGCACATGAAACGGCATTTGGGTCTCAAACACAACAAATGCGATTACAGTGACTGCGAGTTTGAGTCCGTATCCTCTAATTCACTGAAGCGACACGTTATGGCAATACATCTCAAAGTCCGACATTTTCGATGTGTTTACCGAAAATGCGGCAAATCTTTTAGCCGAAAAGACGGCCTTACGAAACACACGGAAAGATACCATTGAATTAATAATGAATTTGTTTTGCTGTTTTTTATCATTATAATTATTATAATTATTGTTTTATTATTAAATTAGTATAGTCTATAACTCTATCTATAGCTATAACTCCTACTAACCACTGCCACTCCAACTCTTAAATTATTGAATTCAGAATAACATTGAAAATTAAATTTGTTTATTGAGCAATAATTATTGTATGTTTAAGTACAACTTATAATAAATAAGATTCAAAATTGGATAACAAAAGTATTATTCAACATATATTTTAAGTAAAAATAAAAATCTCGTAAATGATCTATAATTAGATAATATAATAATGAACGACATAACTATCAATATGTTATTATGAAATATATTTCAAATAACTTTATTTTTGCAATTACATTTGCAAACTAATTACACAATATGTTTTGTAAATAAGACTGTATTATTATATGTTTAAATCTTAAATAAAAATCTAATAATATGATTTTATTGCTTATTGTAATATTGATTATATAATCTTAAGTAGTGCTGCTAAAATGATAAAAGTTTCTATTAATAAAGCATTGTACTTAACTTGTTTTATTAATAAATATAATTAACCATAATTGTAACATTTAATAAGTGTTCCCATTATTATTTAATAATATTTAAAATTAATAAAATGATAAATAAAAGGTAATATTTCCTATTTGCTATCTATTTAATAAAATAAAAGTTAAATATAACTTACAAGCATATTGTATATTGTACTGTATTTGTAACCATTTATCAAGCATTTCAATAAGCCTATCTATTATATTAAATTCTTACAAGGACTCAAGACCTAAAACTTAACCAGGTTAATATCAAAATGATTTTACCGAAAGGCATGCAAATACCGATATCATTTCTACAACAATATATAAAACTAAAATAACATTTATAAAACATTAAAGGTCTTATTGAATGTATAATAAAAGTTTTATTTTATATAAAAACTGAACAAATAAAAACTTATTATAATAACATTTGTAATTTATAACCTTTATTTTAATAAATATAATGAAATAGGCAACAACTATTTAAATTGTATGATATAAAAATTAAATTTATTTTTTAGAATGTAACTCATAAAACATCAAGGACATCATATAAATGTATGGAATATTAAATTATGTTATTTAATATGTATTTCAAATTATATTTTTAGAAATTCTCATTTATTGCCAAATGTATGTCTGTATAGATCGCGCCGGTATAGTATGAGTCAAATGAGTATTTGATTCATTGATTTGCAAATCGATTTCACTTTCATTTTGGTTGAGGACCACAACGACGATCGCATTGTCCGTCCGTTTCATTGTCAACACAAACACATTATTCAAGGCTTTCCCCAACTGGTGGCCAACGCGTACGGAATCGGGTGACAAA